ATGTTTCGAGCGAAAAGTCATTCTTATGATCAAAAACTTTTCATGGTCATCATAAAATTTCGCATATTTTTTACATTTCGAGTAAATGAAGTAAATGTAAACGCCACAACGTCCTAAATAATGTTTTCCCATAATTTTATTATTGCCGAAAATTGGGCATGAGAGCAGCAACCCGAACAACCCGAGCTGCCGGAGCAGCCGGAGCAACTGGAGCAGCGCAGAAGAAGCGAAGCGTGTGAGACGTGGCAATTATCGAAATTAATTTCGTTTATTACTGCATGAATGTTCGATGTTTACTTGTGCGAACTTTAGCTGCGCCTATACCAGAGCACACATGAATCTGAATATGCGTATTAATATGCCAATAAATTTATTGAAAAAAGATGGCATTTCATTTTTGGTTAGAATTGTGGCGTGAACTGAAAAAGTTCATAGGATATGGCGATGTGGCGATGTGGCTCTGACTGCCGCAGCCAAGTCCGCGCGAGCTCATTCCCTCATATTTGGAGCACCTATTAAATTTGTTGTTAATTGTTGTAATGTTTCTGTGAAGATTGTTGTTCTGTGTATTGTTTACATGTGCCAAACAATAAAATGTTTTTGTCAAAATATGCTGAGTGCGGTAATTGCGGCGAAAATGGAATCATTGCTTCAGTATTAATTGCAAAATAAATTTATTTATCTCACAATTACTTTTGATATTTATTGAGTAATTATTTGATTTGATTTACTATTAACAGAAGCTTCGGACTTGTTTATTAGTACTGAATTACACATGAAAGTCTTCGTTTTATGAATGATGGTCAGGAAACCAGTATCTTCAACGATATTTATAAAATTTAAATTTTAAAAGTATTCTAATTGCAAATTACATCAATGTGTTTACAATAATTTTGCTTATCAATTTACTTCCTCAATAAAACCGATATTACAATCAAACCTTCTTGTTTAAACGAAAGCCGCTTTTGCTTTTCACAGCTCTGGTTATTTGATTTGTTCTCATGATCGACACCAAAAGTTATATATTTTTTTCATGCAGCTTTGACTCGTTTGGTTTAGGTTTGATGTTTAAAGTACTAAGCCTAGCACTTGTAGTTCAAAAATTATATACGAATTTGAATTTTTCAGCTATCTTAGCAATCGTTTACTCTTG